TATTCTTTTGGGGATAAAGTGCGAAGCTGGTTGGATATCACCATAGTAACCACAAAGTGATGAAATATGTCAAATAAAGAAAAAAATAAATAAACAATATTCCAAACTGATTGCTCGTATTGTATGATGTAATTTATCGTCAGTAAAGATACATTTGTTCTAAAGTACATATTTTTGCGTCAATCGTATAAATGAAGAACGATTCTTCATTTACACATCTCAGAGATGGTTTCAAAACGTTTTTTTTCCTGATTGTTAGATTAGACACGTGACCAGTTCTATTAGTTTATAAGAAGGAGTTCCCCATTAATTTATTTGAATTATTATCATTGTTGTTTATTCGTTAAGCGTAGTTTGGTCACATAGGCTCTGTAAATCACTCATTTCACTGACTGTTGTTATTATTATTATTATTATTACAATAATTTGAATAATAGACACAAGTTATTTATGAACTGGTAATAGAAAGTATGTAAAGTAGAATAAAATCGATTACCGGGCAAAGACTCTCCCAGTAAATAAGTCAATTAATCTCAACAAAGCGACTCGGAGTTGGTCAGTCGAAATGAACTGAGCTGTTTACTCGGTGTGTACGACGCATGCGTCTTTTGGGACACACGTGGCATCGATATAGCAATGATCTGTCTCGTTATATAAAGAGTGTAGACTCGAGTCAATCTATGGTCAATACAATTATTAATGGTTTTACACTCCAGTCAAGCTTAAGAGAGGATAAACGATCAGCTTTTAACGATTCAAAAATGGTCCAAAAAGTTTGAAAGAGCATTTTTAGTAATCTGTTAAGTGTTTTGTATGGATGGGCTAATAACTGTGGCCAATTGTGGTAATAGGTTGTAGATTGTTAATAGTCGTAATGAAATGGGGCGGAACGATGACCTGTATCCAAACATACTTATGAATAACCACGAACATGCAGTGCTTAGGGTCACTAAGGGCAAGGAACTTGGCTGTACATTTTTAAAAGCAAAGTGAAAGACCTGATCTGTGTATTTGTAGTTCATCGTCACACAGTTTTACTTTAATAGTTAATTTGAACAGTATTTCAAAGTTAATATTCGAATTAAAAATGTTTCGTCATTTATTTGGAAATGAATTGAAACATATGTCAAAAATGTTATCACCAAACTTTGTTCGCAATACACCAAAAGTTTCAGACACCCGTCAACGGTTGTTTTCGTGTTAATGTCAAGTATGTGCTCTTCGCGGTTTCTATTTTTTTCTAACCACCCTCTTGGCAACGCACTGGATTCTGGTGTTCCCCTCACGCGACCTCTTGCCGAACTCTCGTGAAATGTGTGATACCGATTATAGAATTAACTGAACGGATTGCTATAATCGGAAATATTTTGACGAATCTATAAATGAAATATATTTTAATCGCAGGCGATAAACTGAGATGAGATGCGCTAATAACTTTAAAACGCGCACTCACAAATGACGAATGCATTGTTATTTTCTGGAAATGGTTGCAAAACGAAATTACGTGTTAAATAGAGCAATTTGAGATCTATGATATCTGATTTATTAAATTCGTTGAAAAACATCACAGCTTCCATGTCTGTATGGATTCAACACATTGTATGGATTCAACATAGGCTGTCACCCTATGTATCTCAGTAATTGACGGAGAGTAAGTATTAAGTTTTCTCCTCCAGCCCTTTAACGAATAATTAAATACAGGATGCAATGAAACATTAGTTATTTTACTTAAAAATTCTAGCAAAACACAGAAGAAATTTTGGGAGCCACCCAACTACCCACGCCGAAATTGCGACTTATTGAAACGCGAGGGTTACTGTATTATGAGTCACACATAATATACCCTCTATCTATTACTTTATAGTAGCTGTCACGTGAAATATCTGAAACAGTACGTCGTAAAAAGAGGAAGCTGTACACCATGGCATTGTGGGTAATCATTGCATCGGTGGTTTACATTTGTTTGTATTAATCATTTGACTCTTTTTT